GAGTTTTTAATCTGGGGATATGTTATGAAATTTGAGGTAGAATATATACCCCATCCACTAGAAATCCCATCTGGTAGCTCAATAATATTAACATTTTTCAAACTTGTGGGGAGGGCATTATTCTGTTTCTAAAAAGAAAAAAGGCTTAAATCAGCCACCTTTTAAAACCATATTTTTTAAAATGGTTTAAATTATCCTCCTTTTAAAACAAATAATAAGGAACTATTAATCCCAAACAAAGGGAGACATTGAAATCCTATATTTTATCTAATGTGATTGTTATCCAAGGTCTTTTTACTACACAGTCTTGAAAATGGATCCATAAGATACATCCTAATACAATTAAGTATATTTTATTTAAAATTCAAATATTCAATTATTAAGAGTTTTTTTWAAAAAAAGATTCAGTCTACCTGTCCACATTGGGTAAAGGGGTCTATTGATTATTTAAATAAAATACTATATTTTTGGTTGTTCCCTGGTAATGAAGACTTTGTTTGCTTTGCCCAAAATATAAAAAAAATAATAATTTATTTTGGAAAACAGTTCTATAAATCTTATCTGAAACTTTGGAATTTTTTTTGAAGTATGGAGATAATTTGAGATTATACTAATGCATTTTTCATTAACAGAAGCATCTTTAGTTCAAATGCCAGATTCTTCATGATTTCTCTTTTAAAGTCTTCTCTTTCTCTCTCTCTCACACATATCCTGCCTCCAGAATTATAAAATTCACAATAATATAACAAAAGCAAATGATATCATCATGGGATTGTGGAAAGGACACTGCCCGATGGGTCAGGAGGCCTGAAATCTCACCCTTTCTCTGTAACAGGTTAACTCTCTAATTCGGGACATTTCATTTAACACTCCAGGCCTCAGCTTTCCCACCCATAAAATGAGGCTGTCTGGCCTAATATGCCCTAAAGTTCTAAAGTTGCAAGCCCGTGAACTTGAATTAGAATAGTAATGAGGTTAGAAGGAAGCTTTTTAGTGGAAGTTATTCACACAAAAAAAGCAGAATTCACCATTTGGTAATTATCTTTGGGGATGGGTCATAGGAATAGAGAAACTGGCCAAATCTTGCCTGGAGTGCTCTCCAATCTAGATGACATGAAGGTTAAAAGGTGGGGGTGAGGTGGAAGGCAGCACCCCCTCCTTGAGGACTGGAACAAGTCTGTGCCTATGTATTCCTCACTTGTCTGCTTCTTCCCCAGAACTTCTTAAATTTCCCTCCCAAGCATATCTGAGGCAGACTCTTCTCTGGTTTGCACAGCCCATTGGTGACCTGGTCTTTCTGGCCCAGTTTACTTTCCCATCATTTACTGATTGTGTGGTGCTATGACTTTCTGAGATAAAAGATGAGAACAGATAATACCTCTGCTCAGCTGGGACTTTGTTAGAGGCAATCTCTTTAAACATCCTAGCTGGTACCATTCCATCGTTTTCTATGCCCCTAACCTGCTTTATGGCTCTCCAGAAAATATATAACATCCAGACATAAATCTATTTCTGTGTGTATCCATCACCTCCACTCAGGTGTAAATTCCCAGACAGTTTTGATCCACAATACATAAAACAGAGCCTTGGAACCTAAGAGTCACATCAAAAGTATCTATTGAATTAATGAAACATTTTTATGGTTAATTCAGATCAGTGATCTAATATTCTGACCAATAGATCCACATAAACCATAATCCAAAGGAGAAGCTGAACTAATGTGTATCCAGCTAAGGTAGCAGATTTTATTTCATCCTTACTGTGACTTGTGTGAGGAGGCACTTTGGCCCCATTTTATAGATAAGAAAACTGAGACCCAAAGAGCTAAGTTCCTTGTTATAAGGCACCTAGAAACTAAGCAGTAGAACTGAGAAGAAACTCAGGTTTTTAAACTCCAAGTCTACTCTTCCTTTCCTGCTTCGCAATTTCATTCACCATGTCTACCTCTTTTCTGATTATATCCACATCTTTGATGGTACCATATGCATTTAAGTTTCCATGGATGAAATTAATTGGATTCAACTGAAGCCTGCCTAGAACTAAGAGGCAGTTTTAAAAACCAGGTCATTTCTTCAAGCAGCAAGCAGTACCACGTGCTTTTCAACACTGATCATATCACTGTGGGGAACAGGGGTGGGGTAGGGTGTTGTTTAGTATGACAGGTACTAAACAACAAGGCTGTGGCAAAAGAAGAGTAACAAAATTTAGTGTTCCCAATATGATACTCAAAGCCTTCCCAGGAGATATTCTTGAAAGACAAGTGAACATAATACAAAAGGATTTGCAACAAGTGCAGTGTGATTGGGAATTTATAATCCCATGGAGTTGTGCAAATTATGCACAAAATAAGGGTTTTTTTTTTTGTGTGTGTGTGTGTGTGTATGTGTGTGTGGAGAAATCCAAACTGTCCTGGCATCCTGGATCAAATACTTCCAGAGTGCTGAGACCCACAGGTATTTTTAAATATACATATGCCTTATGTTTGAGGAAGAAATATGCAGGTGCATAAAGTCACATCCCAGAATCACTCAAAGCTGATTTTTTCAAGCCACTCAAACTGCAAACCCACATGCCGGGTTAGTGTCTACAAATTAGATCTGCTCTGTAGTGTCTTTAGACCTGCTAGTTTATCACAGGACTTAGTGCACATACAGATAAGTATTTTAGTATATGAGCAAAATATTCTAGGCATAGAAAAACTTGGAAAGATCCTATTGCAGAGGTACTGCAGCCCCACTGTTTTGTTTTTACAAAGATTATGAAGCTCAAAGAGGTTTAACAGATTGTGCATTCTCACAATAAGAGCAGAATTGGTTGGCTTCTCTCCCAGTTCACTCTTCTCCAAGCACATACTAAACCATCATGGGAGTGGGATCCTTGGAACCCCAAGATTCAAAGGTCACATGTGAACAGGAACCTGTGGCTTACACATAACCAAAATATCAAACTATACACTAAGGACTCAATCCTTCCAAACCTTGGGGACTGAAGACAGCTGGACAAGTCACTGCTCAGGTAACCTGGCTGAGAGATAAGAGTGGTTGGTCATGGAAAGGGTTTGGAGTGGCTCAGGGTCTCCCACCATGTACCCTAAAAGAGACCTTCCCTCCCATCTTTGGCATGAAATGCCAGGTTCCTTGTCTAGGGCTGTTCTCACTAACTGCCATGCCAATCCCTAAGAGTGTATCTAAAGAGGTTAGCACATCCTGGGTACACAGACCACAGCTTCCTCCCCTTGCTCAGGGCCTTTGCTTAGAGTTCTGAGCACTGTGAAGATATTTCTTCACTTCTCCTTAGGGTGTCCACATCAAGACCCTGGAGCCATCTTACCACTCTTCTCTATCAGAGGGGCATTGCTGAGGTAAGTGGTTAAGTGTTTCAATTTAGGGGGGTTGTCTAGAATGAAACATCTCATTACAGAATTCAGGGATCCGGATACTTGCATGCGTGCACCAAAAGGAAACAGAGAAATAGGTGTACAATTGACCCAGTGAACCTACTCCCAGGTCTCTACTGTAACCTCTCTCACCCACTCACTTTTAGTTTGAGGAACCCAGAGACTCTTAAAGGCTCCCTTTAACCCATTACAATCAGTTTTCTCATCTACAGATTTTCAAGTTCCTTCAGTTGGTTGGTGTCTTTTACCTAAGTCAGCATTTTCAAACTTTCAGAAAAAAAAAAAAAACCTAGAAAATTAAACCGCGACGACCCCACCCAGATGATAAAAATCTCTTGAATTCTCTAAGCCCAACATCTTAGCCTCCTCTCACTCAGCCCTGAGCAGAGTTGTTTCCTTTGGGTCCTGGGGAATGGCGGGCTCTGCCACTCCTCACCTCACCAGCCTAATAGTTTTTCCAGACAAACGCCTGCTTGGTATTACATGGCAGCCTGGAAGCTAACTTCTGGTCCCATTCATTCCCCTAGGTTCTCTGAGGCCAGTCACGTTAGGGGGTGTCCCTCCTCTCCACTCCTGGTCCACTTCCCCCTTTCAGAGGGAGCAAGCAGTGAACTCTCCTTAAGTCTGACAAGGCACCCAGACCCTCACTAGTTTCTCAGGCTGCACTTTGCAACCTAGACCCAGGCGTGGCGGCGCTGATGAGGTTGGGATTGACAAGGCAGGCGCCAGGACCGCGGGCTCTGAACCCGCCACCACCGCCGGGGGATGTCTCTGAAGGGCGAGGGACTCTCGCTGAGAAGACAGCTCCCGGAACCCGTCCCCTGAAGCTGACGCATGCCGGGGCGCGAAGGATTAAGGCACGGGGTACAGAGGAGCTGAGCGGACCGAGGTTGGAGATGGAGGTTCCTTGCACAAGAAGCGGCGAGGCCGGACCGTTAGTCCCGGAGAGCCGGCTAGCCGAGTGCTGAGAACTGGGCAACAAGTAGCTAGAGGGAAAGGAAACCAATCTCCGCTGACATGTAAACAGGGGTTTCCATCAGGAAGAGCCCGCTCAGGCAGACCCTCGGACACACTCCCTTGCACCCACATCCGCCTGCTACTAATCCACTTAGTCGCTCCGGGGCCCATCAGGCAGGGACCCGAGGGAGACGGCTGTTGCCACTGCCCCTGCCCCCGCCGCTTTCGGCCTCTGGCGAGAGGAAGCTGGCCGCCAGAGCCCTGCGCGGCAGCCAGGGCGCCCTAGTTGCCGGGTGGAAATGGTAGACCCGAAGGTCTCCCGCCCCTGACTCTGATCCGCGCTCGGGGTCTCCAGCTTTTAAGCCGCCGCCCGCTCCTGCAGACCCACTGGCAGAGTGGTAGGAGGGGGCCGGACTCCCCTTTAGCAGAGGGGATGTGGGGAGATCGCCCTCCGTGGGGAGCCTGGCCGGCCTCCCCGAAAGTGGGACTGACAATCCGAGCAGTGGAGGAGACCGCGCGAAACGGGGGCGCGGAAGGAAGGGAGAGAGGCCACGTCTTCCGGGACCCCGGAGCCCTGCGCCCAGCCTGCCTGCCGCCCCACCGCGCTGCTGGGCCCCGCCGCCCGGCACCATGCCCCGCCGCTTACCTTAATAGTCCCGTCCATTTGGCCAAGTCTGCAGCCGAGCCCCCCAATATTCCACACATTGACCCGGTTACAGCCTGACCTCGCAGCCCCTTCAGATTAGCCCGGCGCGGCCTCCCTGGCGCCCTGGGCCCTCCCTGAGTGCCCCCTGTGAGCGCCCTGCCCTCGCTCCCCTGTGCACGTTTGTTGTTGTAGCGGAGCGAAAAAGAGACAGTTAACCGGATGAAACTTTTTTTCAGCTAATTTTGGGAAGTGACTTCACTTTGCGAACGGGGAGGAAGTCCTATCTCTCTCTCTCTCTCTCTCTCTCTCTCTCTCTCTCTCTCTCTCTCTCTCTCTCGCCTCGCGCTCTCCTCTCTCTTCTCTCCCCTCTGCTCTCCCTTGTCTTCCCTCCCCCACACCCCCTCTTCCTCTCTTCGCCTAGTCCTGCTTTTCGCATCACACACTATATAAATATACGCGGAGATGCCCAGATACATTCATGCACTACGCACACAGGATACTTGCTCCTGGGAGATAAGAGCTAGCTGGGAACAATGACGGGGKCCACGCCCAACGTCCGCGCCCTGATTCCCCGCAGTCTGCAACCAGCCCCCAACACCTTCCCCCCAAATCCAAAACCATACGCCTTTGGCTTCTTTCCTTTTCCTGGGGCCGTTGGCCGAAGGTGGCCCTCCTGACTCATTCACTTTCCGTTTCTTCCCACAGATAGGTTCATTAATGCTTTTTCCAGCCGGAGTCAAACTTTTTGGGAATGGGAGGACCGCGGGAGAGTTTACTAGGGCAGGCAGAACCTGGCGCTTACTCCTGAGAAGATTCGGACGCAGACGAGGCAAACCAACCATTGGAAAGTGCATCCAATGAGAATTTTCCCATTCGGGCCCTCTGATGCTGACATGAGGCGGACTCCCGCAGAAGCTCACCCACTTATCCACGCGGATTCGGGGCGATTTCAGGCTGACCTGAGCCGTCAGGGGCGCAACTCGATTCCGGGTGCATTTTTTAGGAAAGGGGCGCCCTCCTGGCGGCGCGCCTCGACTCTCGGCTCCCGGCGTCCGCGAAGGACTGGGACCCGCGGCACCCTAGGTCAATCTACCCCGTCTTCTTGGGTTAATCCCTTCGCGCTTAACGGGACCCGACGGCCCAAGCCTCGGCAACCAAACCAGAGTCCTTCTTGCAATTCTACCATGGCCCCCAAGAAACTGACACTACGGCGGATGTTCCCTCCACGCTGGTCAGCAGGTCCCCGGAGCGCAGCACGCCACAGCGCCACACAGACCCAGACTTCTCCCGGAGTGAGACAAGGAGGCCAGCGCTCCAGGCTGTCATCCCCATCCAGCCGGGAGACCAGCCTCTCCTCGACCCACTTGTCCGGCAAGGCTCACCCAGAGACCTCCCAGTTCCCCTGCTGGGCCGCCGCGCGCTCTAGTTAGGGCAGCCTTCAGTGGTCCGGGTGTTCTCGGCCTGACTCCCTYTCCCCAATCTCCAAAACAGGTTACCTTGTCCACGCTCTGCAGACCACGCTTGTGACTGTCTCACTTTTATTTAAGAGTCCGCCCGGGGAAAGAGGAAAAAAAAATCCAGAGAAGATCCGAGTGAAACGGAAAGAAAAATATTCAAAAGTGTGTCCACAGCGGAGAAAAAGGTGACATTAATTCTTTATTTCTTCAGGAGCAATTGAGCCTGAGAGCTCGCTCGCCCGCCTCCCTCCCTCCCTCCTTCCTCCCCCTCTCGAAATTAGTCTCATCAATTCAGCTCCAATTTTGGGTTCGAATACAGACACGGGTCTGAACGTGACCAGACCTGGAGTGGCGGGTGCAGCCTGCCAGCAATTGAGACTCCGTGTGCGTGGGGGGGGGTGGAGTGGGGTGGTTGGTGGGAAGGGGGCCGGGCCGACTCCCCCCACCAGTCTGCTTCTCAATCCAGGGGTCTGCTCCGGGGCTCCCCTGGGACCGCCACATCTGGTTACCGCTAGCGGGGTCAGTCCCCCCCCCCTTTGCCTGGGGCCACCAGTTCTGGAGTTCAATTAAAAGAAATCAGGCTTAACCCTTTCCTTCCCGCGGCCCGGCTGCCCGCCCTCTTGCTCTTCCCTTCAGCGTTTCCACATGCTTTCCAGAGAGGAAAGAGGTTAAAGGGAAAGGAAGAATGAATTACATCCTTTCAAACCCCAAATTGTTTCCTTTTCTGCCCAGACTTCACCGACCTTCAAACGACAACAGGGCTTTCAGGAGGGTGCGGGGAGATCGCTTCCCACCGGGTCCTCACCAGAAACCCGCGCACTCCAGCCACATTGCTCCTCTTTTAGCTAGAAAGGACTTCGACTTCACCACCAAGAGGCCCCTTTCCTGATGCTGGGCAATCACAGAGGCCCTTAATGGCCACCCCACACGTGGCGGCTAGCAGCAACCCCCCATGCCCCCCCCCCCACACTCCTCCTAAAGGGACTCTGTGGCAAACACAATCACTAGGTTTTTCTTTCCAACTCTGGTTGGCTTGGCAATTAACAGTCCTGTTCACTATAGTGATCAGTTATCACCTCAACAGTACACCCCACAATCCCATTTAGTACCAGTTGCCTTTCCTGTTGGAAGTGCTCAATATGAAAGTAGATTAAAATGAAGATTGGCCTTCTGTCTGAGCTTCGGAACACAACAGCATTTTCTGCTTCTGCCTATAAAACCAAAGTTATAGCAATTTCACAATTTTGGAAGTCAGGGAAAGGGAGCCTGGCAGAGGCATCAACCTATGCATAGACATAGGCATCATTGCCCCTTTGTGATTCTCAAATTGGCACCAGTGCAGCTGCCTTTTGCTGTTTACTAGTCTCTGCATAAGGAGCTACTGCCCATTCACAAGGTCTTTTCTGAGAAAGAAGACCCCAGCCAATTCTGAGCAGATTTCTAAGGGAATATCAGATTCCTTCCCTCCTATGTTGAGGTGCTGGTGGACAAGTTTGTCCCACTTATGTAAGTCTGGGCTCCATGCTCCACTCCAATGCTGCTGCTGCTTTTTTAAATCCTGAAGGGGGGAAAGCCCTAACCAAACACAACAGTAAACAAGTCTGCCCTGTTTAATGTGGTTACCACCAGACATCTGGAAAGATGGTTTGATCCTGGCAGCTCACATTGTTTTCACGAGCAGCCAAAGAGCATATTTTGAATGTTTGCATTGAAACAAATTGATAGAGAGCCTGCGGTGAGGCTACAAATGAAAACTATCTTGTGTGTTGGGGGTGGGGTGGGGCTTTCTGCTACTCTGGCCTCTCCCTCCCCTTCTCTTTCCTCATCCTCTTCCCTCTCTCCATCACTCTTCTCCTCCCTCTCTCCCTTGTCTACAAGCCTAGTTTAGGAATGGTCGCCCCTGCCCACACACTTGTGCACACCCTCTTTCCTGGCTCACCAGGGACTATTTGGCCTCACTCTTTCCCAGACTGGGCAGGGCTGGTGACCAGGATCTGGTATGGGTACCATCAGTGCCCATTCCACCAACCCATTCCTGGCTTTCCAGGCAGGGAAAGCTCACAGCCAAAGAAGCCAGGCCAAGCATTTTTTTTTTTAAAGCTACCAACCGTAGGATCCCCCCCCCCCAAAAAAAAAAAAAAACCAAGCCCACCACATCTTTCTAAGAACTATAGAAAGGGTGCATATGTAGGCAAATATTTATGAAATAGCTGGGTTTGGATCATTTTCATTGAAACGTCGGTGAGACCACTTGCCTCTCACCATTCGCACTTGACAATATTTTCAAAGATGCGGAAGTCCTGCTTCCCCCGGGAGKGGAACGGCTGGGCGAAACGTGTCTTGGCTCGCTCAATGTCAGCCCTTTTGACCGGGTCAAGACTTTCCAGACGCAGGCTTCCCGGGCTCCTTAGGTTCCAGCCTGGGTTGGGGGAGGGAGGACGTGACAACCATAGCTGGTCCCTGGGGTGCCTCCCGACTCGGGGACAGCTCAGTCACTTGAAACGCCGAAAGATTCCAGGCCTGGCAGAGCGTCTCGGGCGGATCCTTCCTTCTTCGTCTTCTGTCTTCCCCAACCCGGCTGGTCCAGAGCAGCCGCAGCGGGTATCCAAGCTGGCAAAGCGGGAGGCGGAGGGAGGGAAAAGCTGGCGAGGGGGGGGGAGGGGGGGGAGGGGTGGCGGGCCAGCGCCAAAACTCCAGACTGCACAACTGCAGCTTCAAGTGTCTGGCCTCTCGCTCGAGGCCATAATTAATTTGAGATTTATTTTTATTGGAGAACTCGAGTCTCGTCTGACCTTAGCCAAACAAGGCAGCTCGAGCCGCCCCTGGATGCGCTTGAATGCCGGGGAATATTTCTGCAGGAAGGCTCTGCAGGCGCGCGCCTGCTTTGAATTTGTTTCTCAGACTTCATCTACTCACAGATTGAAGGAAGATTTAAAGCCTCTGCTCGCCCTGCCTGCTCCCCACGCTCGTTCTTGCCTTAGCGCCGAGCGGGTTCAAAATGCTACGTGGGAGGCCGCAGCGGCTGAAGGGCCCGGGGCGGGCAGGCCCTGGAGGGGGAGGGAGGGTCTCTGCGCCCCGGACCCCAGACGCTCCGGGGCTGGGCCCCCAGACCACGCGGCGTCGACGAAGAAACCTCAGGGGAGTCCGAGATTGACCAGAAAGCGCAGGCTGACAAGAGGCGGAGACCAGCCAGGTGTCAGGACCCTCACCCAGTGGTGTCGCCCCGATGGGGACATGGGCGTGCGTATGTTGGGGGGGGGGAGGTGGTTCAGCCTCTCCAATCCCCATCAGTCCCCTCCTCCCAGTTAGTCGTCCCAAACACTATTCATTCCAAGACCAGTTTCCTTGAAATGCAGCTTCGGATCTGCTGGCCTTGGGGCTGTGAAATTATGAGGGCTAACAGCCCCCTTTCAACTAGAGGGCGGGCAGAGGAGGGCATCTCCCCCAAACGCTACTCTGGCCGAATCGGCAGGCTGATAGGTGGAGGAGGGAGAGCAGGGAGTCTAGCAGATGAGCAAAGAAGGAAAGGGTAGGACCCTGCCAGTCCRGCAAGGGATAAGAGAGGAGCTCTTAGAGATGTGATCCACAGACTTGAAGAAAGGAGTGCTTTGCTTACTGCCGCTGTGGCAGGCGCTGGTCAGGGTTATCCCACTAAGTATCCTGGTCCCTCTTCCTGTCACACAGAGGAGTGCCGTGAAAGAACCTTCTGGTTGGATGATCGGGCTACCTGAATTTGAATTCTACCTCAGTACTTAACAGCTCTGTGGCCTTGAACATGTTTCTTCTCTGGGCCTCAGTGTCCTTTTCTATACAAGGGGTTTGTAATTGAACCAATCTTAAAGGGCTTTCTCTACAGATGAAATAAGTTATCTAGAACTTGCTTGGCAGCACAACTTTACCCTTATT